CACGAACTTGCACTTTGCCATCAGGTCCACGATATTATTTTGTACTTTTGTGGATTTTCTGTTGAGCCAAAAGCCTTTGTTTCACTGTAGGACCTAATTAAAACAATGTCCAATGTATATTATTGAAGTAATAAAAATATCTATTTTTGTGATTTTTGAATTTATAACAATATAATACTGCTTAATATAATTTACTTGTTATGACACCTCCTTTGGTCATGTATCCTTCTAGTACCAATAGGAACCTTTGCAGGAGGTGGTGAAGGAGTATTGTTACTGGTTAACAATGACGTCAAAGTACTTTACTATTTGCAAGACCTTTCTTGACTATTCTAACAGCATTTTCCGTATTTGAAACTGTAAAAATCAATGAAACATAAATATCAAATTGAACATATTTCAGAGGTATTTATGGATATGTCTAAATATGAATATAGTGAACAATTTAAAAATAAATTAGAAAAATGTAATCAATTAGTTGTATTTGGATCTTTAATAATAATTTTTGGATGTATGTAATTTTCAATGTAGAAATACATTGAAATTATTATATAAATAAAACATACAAGAGTTTAATTGCAAAACAACATAATAAAATCAAAATTTCCCAATTTTAAAAGTTGAAAATTAAATTTAAGTTAAATAATTTTAGCAGTTTTTTTATGATTATATTTGTCTATAAGAAATTTATTCATGTGTTAGTAATATGATTATACAAGTAATTTGTTTATAAGAGAAATTAAATAGTTTTATAATTTGTTAACTTACCTGGAACTGCTGAAGGAGCTTTCTGAATGCTCTTTAGTTCCAGAGCTCTTTTTTGTTGATGTGCTGCTCTCTGCATTCTTAATTGTTGTTCCATTTTCTCTTTGATTTCTTCAGGAGTTGCTTTACCGCTGACACTTTCAACAAGTCGCTTTCCTCCAGTAGTAGGTGAAGGATCATGTGCACTTCTGACAGGAGGCAACTTACCTGTAGCAGTACGAGTGACAGGCAAAATATTCGCTTTGTCCAATCTAAAATAATTTAAAAACACACATATTTTAATATACATATACCATATACATATACAATTCCTGCTTTTTTTATTTCTTTCTTTCATCTATTACAAATAGCTTCCTACATTTCCAGTTATTTGTTATGTGTTATTTCCTTGTGTAAATATTAAATATACTATTTTTGATTTTGTAACCATGTGGTCATAGATTTAAAATATAATTGCAATATCATTATCCTTCTCTTAATTGGACAATTGGGCTGCAAATTACTTCAAATTGATAATATTTGAGACATTGTTTGGCATTGAAAACAAATAAAAACTGTCATCTGCCAAAAATTTCAATTTACTTATAAGTCTAGACAATATTGGAATATGTATAATAAATTCATGATAATGAATAAGAAAAGCAGATGAGATGTACCAGAAATCAAAATAATATATGATACAGTATATGTATGGATTGAATGATACACATATGAGCAGTATTTGACAAATTAATTCACTGAAAATATGAAATTAAGTAATAATCAGGGCCGATCCTACTTTGAATGCTACGCCTGCGAAAAATACGCGCACGCCTTAGGGGGTGTCAACACAAGATTTGAATATGAATCATAAAAATTATAGGCGACATTATTGGAGCAACTATTTTGGGTAAAAAAATCTAAGGTAATATTGTACTATTGTATTGTGTTGAAAGTACAAGCAATGACAGGCAAAAAGCATAGCGGTTTCTGTATTAAAACTTGCATGCATATCTCATAGTGTAAGTACATGTACATAAACAATGCATATAAAATAAAGATACAAAATTTTGAAGAGTGGCAATGTTATAATTTTTTAAATCATATATATCTTTTTTTAATCAGACATAAATACCAGAATTAATTATTCTGAATTTTTTCAAAAGTATTAGAGGCAAGCATATGATAAGAATTGTCAATAATATTTCATCCTTTAAATACTTTAAATTGATTGCTATCATATTATATTATATTTTATTTTATATATATATATATATATATATATATAATATAATATAAAATAGTGATACACTTACTTGTCACCATATTGTTTAATTTCCCAAAGTTCCAGTTTATCTTCATCTACCCATTCTTCTGTAACCTGTGGTTCTGTATGCTGTGGAGATTCAGCTCTTTTACGTTTTCGAAGACCACTTCTTATTGAAGTAACTTCTACAAAAAAAAAAAAAAAAAAAATTGATAAGAAATAGTTTCATAATACATAAATTTTATTTTCAACGCAATATTACCTCTAATTGTTTTGGGTAATTCAAGTGGTATAACAACACGTCTTCTAAGATACTGTGTTTTCTCCATAAATTTTCCCACGTGCCTATGTTTCAATAATTCTAAAGACATGATCTCAGTTTCTGTTGTTACCTGATGTTTTCCATCATTATTAGATGGTTTAACCGCCATGTCATCCCATCTCAAGCAAGTCCACACAATACGCAGTTGCAACGCAACTGCTGCCAATGACCGTAAATGAACTGTACGGTACAACCAGCATGTTTTAAAAAGAGGCCTTGAGCAAGGGTATGGCCACACTGCTGTGTTTGGCTATTCAAATATAAATCACTTTTGAAGAATGTTATATAACATTGTATTCTGTAGTATTTACTTAGATTAGAGACAATTCTCTTTTCAAAGTGTAACTCCATTATTTTAATAACATAATATGATATAAATAATATAATTTTGATACTAAATCTCACTTTAGATTGTTTAAAAAGTGGGTTAATTATAACTTTTTTTTTAAGGTTTTGTAGGATCAACTAGAAGAGAATTTAATCTTAATACAATCAATTTTGTTTTGTTTCGATAGGACGTTTAGTTTTTTTCCTATCTTTCACGCCAATCAGATAAAATAAAAATAAAAAAAATTGGAAGACATTTTTGCAACAGAAAAAAATCGTTTTTTTTAAGCCTCTAAAGCAGTCTTCCCCCATAAATTCATTTTCATGGAATTTGCATAATCATAGACAAGGAACACTAATGTCATAAATATTAACAATGACTCCTGTTATAATTAAGCCTATTACAGAAATGTATTTTCAAAATCAAGCTCAATAAAATAAACGGTGTAAGTAAATTTAGCAACATATAAATATTTTTTAATACTAAAAACAAAACTGACATTTTAACACAACAATGATAGAATCATAAAGGTAAAATTAACAAATATTGCTGTATTGTAATTGATTTTTCTGAACATAAATAAAATAAAAATGCTCCTCATTTCATTATGAAATGTCAAGTTTGCTTTATGAATTTAAACATAATATATTTTATGAGATTAACACAATATATTTGAGGAAAAAAACATAATATAATTTACAAGTGAGATCCCTGATTTTCTTATTTCACCAAAAAAAATAAGCTGCGACAGATTAGAGCACAATGATAACAAGGTTTAGCTAGAAAATTAAAGAGCTGTGAAAAAAATGTACTCACCTTTGCTAAGTGGTGGTAACCATTTACAGGCAATCTACCAGCATGTCTAGCTAAAGTTTTTAATTCGTGTTGCGGTAATACCATTATGGTCTTATGTTTATTCCTAGTACGAAATGAAGCTACAACTGGATACTTAATGTGTTGTGTTTTCTTCTTTTTACCATTCATACCATTATTGTTCTTTAAATAAATTTTTCCAGCTGTGTTAATAGCTGAATATATTCTTTTACTGCCATCTTCTGCAAATTCAGTTTCAGGATTGACCTCCTCACGTTTGGTTGTTTTGTTGGTACAAAATCGTCTGTTTAATTGTGCATGGTATTGTGAATTGGCAGACATGGCACTGCAAGATAGGTAATTTTTTTCCTTAGAACTATGAGATAATCTATCATGAATATGTTGACTTGATGATCCATCAATGCTTTGAACGACTCCATCAACAATGCGTACTGTTTGAGTGACAGTAGTAGTGGTTGTAGTTATTTGAGTTGTGGTGATCAGTTGCTTTGCTGGTCTAGCTCTAGTATAATATTTTGATTTATCGTTTTTACAACTCGCCTCATCATCTTTACCATTTGATTTATTTATAAAATTATCTCCTTTAACACCTAATATCATTTCATTAATAGCTTCTGGAGTCATTGTATCCATGTCGTGACTATCCAAAGTGGATTCAAAGCTATTATTTGCATCATGGGATTGATTAACATTTTTGATATCATCATCAGTGGTAATATTATTTAATGATAATCTAGGAATCTTTTCTGAGTTATCAGTAATATCTATATCAGCTTTAATATTTACTTTTTCTTTAAGATCTTTTGTTTCTGATTCATTTAATTTCAATGAACTAGTAGTATTTGCATTTTGATGCTCATCTATTTTGTTGATACATTCTTCTTTAACAGTAACAGAATTAACAGCACAACATGATACAAGACTCGTATCATATGTAATTGCAGAACTATAAGCTTTCAAAATATTATTCGTAATATTCACAGGATCTTTTTCTTTGCTTTCAATTACTTTAGATTCAGATAGCTTTTGTTCTAATATTGAAGTCTTTTTTGAATTAATATTATTAGCAGAGCTGTGCGCTGATCTCAACAATTGCAGAAGCTCTCTGCGCAAATTTAATTTCTGTATGCACAGCGGAGAATAGCAATTAGAGACAACTGAGGTGTGCTGTCCAGTTAAAGCTGCATTACAACCTGGTGAATAACATTTATAAGGCTTAGCCAAGCGATTTAAATTAGCATATTGAACTCGTAATTTCTGAATCTTCTCTGCAACGCTTTTTAATATTTCAGTTTTGCCTGTAGAAACATCACTTTTGTCTTTATTTGTCCTTTCATCATTATCAGCACCTATTTCTTTAGCTTTGAGAGTACAAGCCTTTTCTTCATTCACCTTCAACTGAATACGCCTTGCCAAAAAATCATCCAACTTACTCGCATGCGCTATTTTTGGGTACAAAACTCTACCAGGTGATGTTAAAGCTTTGCAAACATCTATTTCTTCAAAACGTGAGGCAGATATCGGTAAAAATTTTACATTTTTCAATTCTTCGGGTACTAAAATGTGCAATAAAAATGTTTAAACATTACAATAAAACATATTACGTAATTTGCTTGAAAATAACTTACAATTATGATCATTTTCACTAGTATTTCTTGATTTCAAATATTCATAAGATTTGGTATCTAAACATAAAATTTTAGCTGCTTCTTTATCTTCAATTTTCAACATTATTTGGTGAGGACCAAAGCACAATGCACGACTTGACTTGACTGATTTAAATTTTCTAGCACTTGATAACCATAACCATCCCCAAATTCCATGTATTCTGTATTCTTCACCTTTTTGTTTCCACACCTGTAACAGAAATTTTGAAACTATTTACATAACCGTTTTGAAACATTCGCAAATAATGATTTTATCTCATTACCTGATGCTTCAAACCTAAAGTGTATTTCACAAAATTATATGTGAGTTTATTGCGTTCTTCTTCATCATCTTTTTCACGTTTTTCTCGTTTGTCCAACTTTTTCTTCTCTTCTCTTTCAACTGCTGTAATTCTATGTAATTTTACATGACCTAGTTGATCATGCCAAACATTAGCAAAAACAACAGATTTAATGCAAGCCTAAAAATAAAATAGAAAATAAAAAAATTAAAGTTGTGTATAAAATTATAAATTATTTCTTAGCATAGCAACAAACTTGTAGAATAATCATAGCTTTAGAAAAATCTGAAGGCTTGGTGCAAGCGCCAACAGCAGTTAGCCAACTCTTGCGCAGCAAACTCCAATTTGGATGCATAAATGCTGACTGAATTGAATTTTCAAGGGCAAGTAGTGTTTGGCGAAGAGTATTTATCAAGTAAGTTTGTGTACCTAAAATAGCATGCATGTTAGAAGTTAATTTGATGTATATAATTGCATTCAAATTAAAGTATACCATTCATTGTGCCAATCCACTTGAACTCTGATGCTGGAGTTAAAGAAAACTTATGTGATAAATATCTTTTTTTATCTCGATCCTCATTTCTTTGTGGTTTATTGAGAGCAATTACATTTGATGTAAATTGATTAACATACGACTTGTATGAGTTTTCCAAACCAAGTTTAAAATATTGAGTTCCATTATTAATTTGCATTAATTTCTGACGAGTAACTCTGGTAGTTTCAGTCACTATGAATTGAGAAAAATAATTAATAAATTTGTAACTAGAGTATACTTTTGATATTGAATTTCAAATTACCAGTAGTAGTTGTAACTGTGGTAGTTGTTACCGTTGACATCTGAGTCATTGTGCAATTATCAACATCATTACAAAGACTGCTTCCTGGTTCAACTTCAGTAGAGTTAGACTTGTCATCTGAATTGTGAGATATATTAAATCAATTGTCTAATTATTATGTGATAAAATATTATACTATACTATATTAACCACAGATGTAACATATTTTTATAATTTAGCAATACATTAAGTAAGAATATTATATAATTATATCTCAATAGAAACTAATATTGAAATATTAAATTACTAAAACTGAAATGCATATAAAATACTTATCATTTGAGCTAGTGCAATAAGGATTAAATAAAAAAAATGTAAACAACAAAATCATCATAGGCATTGAAGAAAAAATAATATGGTAAAATATGAACAAAACAAAAACTATGATGTCAAACAAAATGAGTTTCTGTTACATCCATAGTAGCAGCTAAGGACTTTAGTGAATTGTACCTAATGATTCATCCCCAATTTTAGAAATTTCTTGGCGATCTTTTTGCAATTTTAGAATATTAGCTAAAACAATGATACACAAAGATTATATATATATGGTAATAGTTGAAATATATAAATTATAATTGAATTAACTGACCATTTTCAATTTCAAAATATGACTTTTTATTCCCTTTCAACTGATTTGTAAGTGATTCTGTAAGTTCCATTTGCCGAACAATTTCTTCTTTAAAATCAGCCAATTCTCTGCAAAGAGCTACTTCAAATTCTCTTTTATCCAATACAGACAAGAGTTCTTCAAGTTGGGGCACAGTACTATAATACCAAACTTCACTTCCATCTTCACTTTCCCTAATTTGAAAAGTATTATAAAAATATTATTTTATGTTAAATTTAATCTTCAAAAAAAATATATGTATGCACATTTTAATAGCAATAATTATATTGAAACTATGATTTTATGGCGCCAAATAGTGAAATATTCTGATATGGTTTTATATGTAAGACATAATACAAAATAATTCAGATTTCCACTACTTTATGTATTTATATATAAACATTTATTTATGAATATCTTAGCAAAATGAATAAAACCTATAGGATCTAATTAAAGTGCTAATAACCTCTATTTAAACATAACAAATATTTAGTCTAGTACTTGCAATTTTATTATCAAGGTATAATGATTTATTTTAATTTTTTGGTTAGTTCAGGTTTCTTCACATTTGCCACAAAAAATCAGCTAAATTTTATAATCATAGAAGTATACTGCTGATAACAAAAATTCATGATACAAAAAAAAAGTTTATATATGAGAAACAAAATCAAACTATCACATCCTAAATAAGTAATAAAAGATAAGAATGTTTTTCATATTTTCTCACACAAATATTCTCCTGTCCAGAAACCAATATTTTCTTCCATGTCTGTCAAAACCAAGATGCTCCTGTCGACATAGTAATCCTTGTTTCTCAATTTGGGAAATGCAATCGACAACTCCTGATAGCTTATGCGATTTACAAATAACACACTGCCAGTCTTCTGTTGGAACATCTTCCAAAGGTGGATCGACACATTCCAAATGAAACACTGCAGGGCATGTCTCACAGCAGAGAAGGTCACCCAAGCGAAAGCAAATTCGACAATGATCATCATAATGTACAGGACCTTTACATAATTTATATATATATTAGATGTCAGAGCAATATAGTTGTTTTATGCTATATATATTTATGCTATATAGTTGTTTTAGGCCAATATTTTTATGATGTAAAAACTCTGAACTTAATTTTTGTTATTAAATTTGTAAACATCCTGAAGAATTATAAAATAGGTATCATCAAATTACAAGTGCTAGATTAAAATTATAAGCAAATAAAAACTTTTGGTATCAGTAAATCGACATTTAAATGTTAAGGATGCATGTTTCAGCATGTGGTTGTCAATTGATCATGATTAGTTTGTGTTGATTACCAGTTTGCATAATTCTCTAGTTATTTATAATTAACTAGATTATTAAAATTTATTGAATATAATCTGTACAATAAAAATTCAAATGTCTTAGACTAAATCCATAAGTGATACCTGCACTAAAATTCTGTAGATTTGAATCAAAGAGACTAAATTTATTACTGCCTACAATTTGTTACAAACAGAATAGAATGATAAAGCTAATATTGAAATACCTTCACTCATCAAATCTTCTCTAACTGGATTAGTAATCAAAAACTGGTCAGTTAAAAATTGTAAAACTTTTATTCTGTTTTCCACTGATGTATATGGATATTCACAGGATTCTAGAATATTTAAAACCTTTGCATCAAAAAACTTATCACTTTCAACATACACTCGGAGAACTTCTGGCCAAGTCACATTATCAATTAAATATAATGTTATATTTATACTGTCTTTTTGGTCAAGAGGACCAAAATGAGTTTGTTGCACTTCTTCTTCTCGCAATAATGCTTTAATTAACATTATGTGAACTTCCGTCAACAATGCACTCTGTTCTTCACAGGTTAACGAAGCACAAAAATCCTCCAGCCGAAATGGTGAGAGACGAACTAATTGACGAAAGTGGCGCAAAACTTCATATATACTTACAGCTGGCATTATTAAGTCTGAACTAACAAGTAAATCTTCTGATGAACTGGGTAACTTTAATGGAGGTAATTCTCTGTTCTGTAGCCATAAGGGTTCAGGGCTTGGTGGTCGAATAAGACTTATAGTTCTTCTAGGTGTGCCACTTAAATTACTGTAACTATTTATAGAAAAATCACTATCACTACTTGCATCTCCACCTAGACTATCATCTGTATCAGAATGGATTCCTAGCTGCTCCTCCTCCAGATCGCTTTTTTCACTCGATTCATCGCCAAAATCTGATCCATAATGATATTCAGATTCCAAAAAATCAGTTACATTAGGATTATAACCTCTTCTCTGGTATGCTGAACCGCTCAATCCACCACGTCTGTTTGCTTTTCGTTGCCCCCTTGTTCGCGCCCCACTGCGTCTACTTCCATCGCTTCCCTGAGGCGATGAAGCCCTAGACGCCGAAGGCGTACTCGCAGTCGAATCAGAAGCTTTATTTTGATTCAATAAATATTTTGGTTTTTTCAATAAGTGATACTGAAATTTCTTTTGCCTTTCTTGAACTACAACCTTCGGAGGCCGCCCTCTTTTCTTTGCTCCCCTTCCTGTCATTTTGCTAAACTCCAACTGTCACCAAATACCTTCTTAGCACATGTCAAACAATAACACACTTGTATACAAATAATGACACAAATCAATTGAAAGTGAATCCATGTTTTAATCGCCTCGACTTTGCGCCATTGCAATTGCAAGCTCAATCATGTAAGAACGCTCCGGTATATGCATAACGAATTTACATATGCATTATGCTTTATTGTCTAATAAATACAAATCAAAAAACCTTTTATAAAAAGTATCATTTATTAATATTAATACCAAAACATTTAAAAAACGCACAAGCAATTTCACTGACGCGAAAACGTAGTGTGAAATTAGAACATATCGAGACATAAGAAACGCGGCTCCTGATTGGTCGAACTCATTGCCGCCATGACAGCATTCTGTTGTGACAAATCTCGATCGTTGATTTATAAGCACTTTACACAAATTTTCGACAATTCATTTGTCCGCAAAGTCAGTCATTATTAATAATTATTAAAACACTATTATTTATAATAACTTGTTTAAAACAAACACTCATATTTATCGAAACAGTATGACCAATGTTGAGCTATAAAGCCATGTCACACACATTTGTTATAAGAGAAAAAAATCGAGCAAGCAAAATTTTCAATATTCCTTAAAATTATTTTTCATTAGCACATCCTAATTGAATTTCCTTCATAAATTGCTTCAATTTCTTCATTTCTATAAACTTGGCGATGATTTTTTATTAAAAAAATCGAAAACTACCAGGCGGGAATTTTAAATATCATTACTTGTCTGTTACTTGGAATATTATTTGGAACTTGGATAATCAAATCAGAATTCTTTAAATATTGTTACTACATTTTTTTCTATTTTCACTTGAATTAATATATCTTCAAGACAACTATAAAATTATAACAGCAGCGTGCGAAATTGACATCTGCAATATGCTGTGGTTTGACATTCTGTCAGCACCATTTTGTAAACTTTTTACGATCGGGATTGATATTAAAAATAATCTTCCGAGAAATTGAAAAGTCGAACGAAGCACGATGTATTCCGTAAGCCCCATTATTACTTACGAAAAAGATATAATTTTGCCAAACTGCATGTATAAAGTTAATAACATACATCATGAAAGCACCCACTTAAAAGGCTTGGATCAACACTTAACACAGAATTGCAACAACGTGTCTCAACAGGTTAACATAATATTAAAGGTTAAACACTATTAGATGATATTCATTCAATGTACTTTCCATGATAGTCGAATCTCAATATATTTATAATTTTTCGTAATTTTAATTATAATATTTAATGCAAAAACACACATTTTTTCAATTCTAGGTTTGATAGATTGTAAGACCAATGACTAATATGTCAGCCATGAATGTATTTAATTTCTTCCTGTCATATACTTAACAAATAATGAAAATTTGCACTTTTATTTTTTAGCTTAGCCTTAAATGTCACAATCAAATCTCTTTCATTGATTTATTTTTTACTTTTAGAGGCAAGTATTAGACATGCATAAGCTTGAAGAACATCAACTAGAGATTTTGAAGAAATTAGCAGTTTTGAAGCTAGAAATGTTATCCATGAAAGAAAATTTACTTAAAGAATATAACCTAAATAATAAATTGTCTTCACCAATGAAGGTAACAGAAGTCATAACATCTAGTTTGATTGTACCATTATGATCTTTTATTATCTTATTTAAATACTAAAATTTTTATATTTATATATTTCTAATATAATTTTTCATTTTGTAGATTGAAGATTCAACTCCGATAGTAATCTTTTGTAATCCTTTGCAAATACCTTATTCCCTTTTTGCTATTCAGAAACTTTGGAAGGAAAAAGAAATTGGATTTGAAGTTAAATCTTATGTTCATTCAAGTGTTTTATCTTTATCACCTGAAGCTGAAGAGTTTATTCAACAAATAACTCAGCCAATTTTTAATGTAAAACATATTTTGAGCGTCACTTTAATCTGGAAGGATGGTATTTAGCATAATATTTTTATGTAAATTTGAGAAAATGCTGAACTTTTATTTCTTTTTTTATAGTTAACGGTTGCTTTCTATGATTTGAAAGAATTATGAAACTAAACTTTTATCTTTATTGTTTTAGATAATGTTTTAGAAAAGTTTATTATTAACAACATCAAATTATTTTAAAATATTTTTTTAACCAATAAATGTTTATACTAAACCTGACCCGTTGAATAGCATAATTAACAAATGGCATTTAACACATGAGCAGTGGTTTATAATGTTTTGGTCAGTGGTATAGTTTCTAATTTTAATATTTGAAACTGATTGAACAATTCTTTTTTTGTTTTGCTTTATAAATTAAAATAATTATCAGCTAAGGGCTTGAAGGTTCAGCATCTCAATATGAAAAATTATTTAATACTTCTAGAGTATTTAATATTTATATTTTTTTAATTTATAGTTACTTTTGGTCCTGAGTTAGTCATTGGATCAGCGATGGTATCTTCAATTAGAGGAGAAGTTAATATTTTACGCTATCTTAATTATGTAGCACCTGGTATTACTGCAACTGCTTCAGATCATGAAACAAATACTATTTTAGATGTTTGCTATAAACTGTCCAGGGCAAAAACGCAGAAAGAACATCAAGCATGTTTACGGTTTCTTAATAGCAAATTAGGAAAAAATATTTGGATTTGTAACACAGAGCAATTGTCATTAGCGGATGTTGCAGTTTGTAGTACAATAAAACAGCTAAAGAATTCTAATGAAGTTACACAAAATATGACTAAATGGATGCAAAGATGCACAGAAGTTATTGGTTATTAAAATTAATAAACTGGTTTTAAATGCTATGATTTCTTTTAATTTTTACTTTAATTAATAATGTATTTTTATTGATTGGGTTCATTAAGAAACAAATGTAAAACAAGTTTATTGGTGTTCAACATGACTGTTTTTGATATTTTATGTTTTATACTCAATAATTGTTTGTTTTTGTTGTGTTTGAATTAAATTATTTTTATGTATCTCACTGAAAAAGATTAAATTTTTAAATTAATTTGATTTTTATTAATATTTGGATGGATGACTAGAAAACTTTATTATACATTTTTTGTGTAAAACTTAAAAGAAATTAGTTATTATTCTTGTTTAATGTGTTCATATAGCTGTTTATTTTATATCTTAATTTTTCTTCCTTTTTTTCTTCATCTAATTTTAGTTTTTCATTATATTTGTTATTTTTTGTTTTATTCTCATTAATTAATTGTTCTGTGAATTTTCTTTGAAATGAAAGTGGTGGAGATATAATTGTAATATTGATGGTGTGTTAATATTTATATTGGATAAAATCTTGAAAACCCTATTCATGATATTTACTTTTACAAGTAGAAAACAATGGAATTTTTGGAAAAAATTGAAAATTGGCCAAATGAATTTTTTTTTTTACTTTTTTCATTACATCTTTATAAAACTGCTGGAGCAAAATCATTTAATCAATACAAGTAAAATGTTTTTCAAATTATTCAAATCGGGTGCTTCATTCTCTCAAAAACTGAATTACCATTTTTGCCTCATATCTATGAAACGGCTGGACCTGCCTTTGCCAAAAACTGAAATCGAATGTTTTTTGAATCATTCAAATCGGTTGATCCGTGTTCTCAAAATCTTTGGCGAAAAATTTAATCTTGCATCCATATATATTTTTAAATTATGCCAAAATGTTCAGAAACCTTTAAAACGTAAAGATATATAAAAAAAATATTTCTTTTGTTTGCTATTACGGTAACTTACCCTACGGGAAGTTAATTATGGTAATAATGAACACATGGGTCCCATTGATCTGTGGAGGCTGTGCTCCGCAGTGTTCTATACTTGGTCTACTATAAAAAGATATGGTAATGGGCCGATTCATACATTTCTTGGTTCGAACGAATCGAATAAAAACCCTGATCGGAACGAATCGAATAAAAAACCCTGATCCGAATCAATTCGAAAGTTTTAATTGAACAAATATGAACTTGCAAATCATATCACAACTGAATTTGGTGTTGCTGCTTCACAAATATATATGTTTTCTTCAGGATTTTTTTTTTTAATTCAGAAAAACAAATACCAATTGACTTGATTAGTAACCAAAATAGACCTACCCGGGTATTGCTGCATCAAATTATCATTCATCAGCTTAGTCAATTATCAACTAGTACAGATATCAAATATCGATATTTGTTCAAATTAATATATGTATATATGTATTATATATATATATATATATATATATATATATATATATAAATTGCCAAAATAAATATGAAAATGTTTCAAAACCCAAAAATTAAATATTACACACCCGTTATAAATAATTGATAATTTAAAAATATTTTTGAAAACAATATACTAAATTCGCTAAAATTTTTGAATGCCCTAAAATGTTTAGATTGAAAACTAAAATTTTTTAAAAATAGTTTCGGAATGCGACAACGAAAGAAAACACGAATTTGATTATGAGCAATCCTCGAATCGCCTCGATGTATTTTATATGCTTTTTGATTACTTTATCCACCAGGATTATTAGAAAGTAATTTAACGTAACGTAACTAATTTACGTTTAATGTAACGTAAATTATGAATTAGAATTAGATCTTTATTAATATGAATTAGATTTTTATTTATATATACGTTTCGATCTAGGTCGAGACCGTAATTTAGTGGGACAAAAAGAACAAAGTTATTTGGTTATTTGGTTAAACAAAGTTATTTGGTCGGCAACCTGATTGCCGTTAAGGGCGCAATCTGAAAATTACCGAGGGCGCATCGGTATGAAAAAAAAAGATTTTTCATAACTTTGTTCTCTAAGTATACAATATATATATATATACATTACGAAAATTCAGTACATCGATAAAAGAAGAGTATGATTTAATAATACTTAATTATATACATATAATTTAGTGTGGAACTTGTGTGTCCGTATTTTCAGCTATTTTTTTATAATCGGGAATATAATGAGAGTTTCCCTGTTCGCAAACGTTATCTAAATGTGTGCCATTTAACTTTGTTCGGTATTTTGATTTCAAATATTTCATATTTGAAAACAAAGACTCGCAGTTGTATGTTGTTGCACAATCAGTAAATTTTTAGCGCACATTTCCTTAAAATAGGATACTTATTTTCATCGACTTCCAAAACATTTTATCATTATACTATGTGCTTTTAAAATAATATCATTTTGCAAGTTTATTATTTCTAATTCCACATCTTCGATATTACTATTTTCAAAATACACTGAAACACTTTGCAGAAGATGATCATCTTCGG